TGTGTGTGTGTGTGTGTGTGTGTGTCTGTGTGTGTGTGTGTGTATATGTGTGTATATGTGTGTGTGTGTCTCTCTGTGTGTGTGTCTGTGTGTGTGTGTGTGTATATGTGTGTGTGTGTGTGTTGAGAGTGTTAGCGCTCTGTTTGAGCAGCACACACTAATAATGGGCAGTCAGAGACTCTGTGTTTCTCACAAGGTCACAAACGGAGCAGAATCTCGGTGACCCCGCGACCCCCGTCACCGCTCTCGTCTCTCTCTCTCTGAAGCTTTACTCTGAAGATCTGCCAGACCTGTTTAGGCCGTGAACTATTCCTTTACTGTTTTTGAACAAATCTTTTAGAGGAACACTACAAACTTTTTATCCTCGTTTTTTCACCAAAACTATTCTGACATTTAACCCTGTAAAATAATAGTCAGGAAAATCAATTTTTTTAAATGTTTGCATTCGTGTTTTTGTTGAGCATCATATTTGATCCATCAGGTTTTTATGGCTCATATAATCTGATATAGTGAGAATATGGAGGGAAAAAAACAGCTCAATTTTATTCAGAGACTCGAACTGAGCAGAAATATGACTTGGGTGCAGATGCTGATATTTCTATGATGAAATTCTGCTGCTTGTGCTGTAAATCAGTGAGATCTTTATAACAGTGCAGCAGATACTGACACAAAATAATCTAAATATCAGTGGTCGCTCTATATCTCCAATAATAAGATGAGATTGAAATGATCCAAACATATAATGCAGTGATTGAGAGCTGAAGAAATAAAGGCTCCTCAGAAGATGTGAGATGTTCTGGAGGCTTGTGAAGATCATTCCTCCGCTGAGGAACAGTGAAAGTAAAGCTTCTGGAAACAAACGCTCCTTAAAAGATCCTGAGGATCAGATTTGAGACTCTAAAACATGATTGATGGAGAATCAAGTAAAGCTGAGCTGCTTCAGTCCAGTAAGTGTTCATCTGGAGATATTACTGCAGTTATTCTGACCTTTACTTGATCAAAATCAGTCAAGATCTGACAGCAGAAAGACACGAAGCAGCAGCTGAAGCTGGACGTTTCTACAATTACACTAAAAGAGCAGAGTTTGATCATTTAGAGGCCTTAGAAATTTGTGTTTCAAATATCATGCTTGTACTTGTCAGTTTTTAGAGCCTTGTTTAATCCACAGATCCAGAGAGACGCTGCTGCAGTTCTGCAGCCGTATTTCACCTCCACCGGTCTGGTGATCAAAGCTCGGGAACACGCGTCAAAGATGGAGCACATCATGGACTTCACGCGTCTGCGCTCGCTGAGTTCGCTCTTCTCCATGCTGCATCAGGCCTGCCGCAACGTGGCCCTCTACAACAACAACCACCCTGATTTCCCCATGCCCATCGACCAGCTGGAGAAATACATGCAGGTGCGGCACGCCTGGACGAGTCAAGTCAGCTTTATTTATATACACTGCAAAAACTGATTCTCTTACTTAGTATTTCTGTCTTTTGTAAAAAAAAAATTATCAAAATTTTGTTAGTTTTTGCTTAAAACAAACAAAAATATCTGCCAATGGGGTAAGAAAAATCATCTTAACTCAAAGGCTAAACAAAATTATTTTTCTTGCCCCATTGGCAGATATTTTTGTTTGTTTTAAGCAAAAACTAACTAAATTGATAATTTTTACAGAAAACAAGACATAATATCTTAAGTCATTTGATTTGTACAGTAAATTCATCTTGATTCAAGAATGTTTTTATTCAAAGTAGCTATTATCCACATAGGTCTTTGATGTGAATGAATATTTTTGGGTAATTTCAAAGACATTTTCTAAATGTCTATTTAACATCTGTCAGGAAATGTCTCAGACTCATTGCAAATGTTTACCAGATGTGATATATGAGCACTAGCACTAGCGATGCTTCACCTAAAACAGCATGAGCGCGTCTATAGAGCGATCATCACTGCGTCATTACCACACGTGTGCTTAAACTGTCTGTCCATATCTCAGTATTATAACTGGATGTGATGCTGCTGGCACGGTTTAGCACATTAGCTTTAGCGGCTTTCGTGTGTGAACAGAGAGAGAGCTGCTAGCGTTTGCATCGACTGTGTTTGGACGAGGCTGAGCAGCACAGACAGAAACTGGGTCACTTACAGTCAACACAGAAGCACTCGAGCGTTTGGGCTCAATGTCGCTCGCTATCTCATCTTTAATAGAGCTTCTCGTGGCTGTTCTCCTTCCCTGCAGGACCGCCGTGTACCTCGCGAGGAACTTTAACAGCGCTTTCATCTGTGGATGCACTGCAAAAATGATTTTCTTCTTTAGTATCTTTGTCTTGTTTTCTAGTATAAATATCTACAAAGTCTGGAATTAAGATGCATTTGCATGACAAGTAATATGACTTTCTGAACAAATTATCATAAATTATTATGAAAAAAAGTGTGAAGTGTGCTAGTTTTTGCTTAAAACAAGTAAAAATATCTGCCAAATAACCTTGTTTAGCCTTTGAATTAAGATTATTTTTCTGACCCCATTGGCAGATATTTTTGTTTGTTTTAAGCAAAAACTAACTAAATTGATAATTTTTACAGAAAACAAGACATAATATCTTAAGTCATTTGATTTGTACAGTAAATTCATCTTGATTCAAGAATGTTTAGATATTTATACTAGAAAACAAGACAAAAATATTAAGTAAGAGAATCATGTTTTGCAGTGTAGCGCTTTTAGCAATACAGATTTTGTCAAAGCAGCTTTACAGTATTAAATGGGAAAAATAGTGTGTAATAATACAAAAGGACAATAATAAACACTCAATTTTTCAGTTAAAGTCAGTTCATCATTGATGATGTCATCGTCCAGCTCAGTTCAGAATCAGAGATTAAATGTGACCCTGGAGCACGAAACCAGTCGTAAGGGTCAATTTTGTTAAATTGGGATTTATGCATCTTCTGAAAGCTGAATAAATAATCTTTCCATTGATGTATGGTTTGTTAGGATAGGACAATATTTGGTCGAGATACAACTATTTGAAAATCTGGAATCTGAGGGTGCAAAAAAATCTAAATATTGAGAAAATCATCTTTAAAGTTGTTCAAATGAAGTTCTTAGCAATGCATATTACTAATCAAACATTAAGTTTTGAAATATTTACAGTAAGACATTTACTAAATATCTTCATGGAACATGATCTTTACTTAATATCCTAATGATTTTTGGCATAAAAGCAAAACGGATAATTTTGACCCATACAATGTATTGTTGGCTATTGCTACAAATAAGACTGGTTTTGTGCTCCAGGGTCACATATGACAAACAGGTGCTAACCTTTAACCTTTGTCGTGCAGAAATACCTCATCTACGCGGTGCTGTGGTCCTTCTCGGGCGACAGCAGGCTGAAGATGCGAGCGGAGCTGGGAGAATACATTCGCCGCATCACCACCGTGTCTCTTCCGTCCGCGCCGAACGTGCCGATCATCGACTACGAGGTGCGAGCAGACGCAGTCTCGGATCGAGTGTGATGTTTGAGTGCGACTCTAACGCTGCTCTGAATCCGTCAGGTGTCCATCACGGGCGAGTGGCAGTCCTGGCAGGTGAAGGTGCCTCAGATCGAGGTGGAGACGCACAAGGTGGCCTCGCCGGACGTGGTGGTGCCCACTCTGGACACGGTGCGTCACGAGGCTCTGCTCTACACCTGGCTGGCCGAACACAAGCCTCTGGTGCTCTGTGGGCCGCCGGGCTCCGGGAAAACCATGACCCTGTTCAGTGCCCTGAGAGCCCTGCCGGACATGGAGGTGAGGAGCAGATTGCATTCAGAAAACCAGAATCTCTTCTTACAGATGTAGGGCCCTATGAAATCAGTTTTTTCACAAATTGTTTTATTTTTTTTCTAAATTCCATTTTAAATTTTTTCTGGATTCCTTTTTTTCTATTTTCTAGACCGTTTTAATGGTTAAATTTCAATTGTAGTCATCAAAAAGCATGTCTAATTATTTGAAATCGTGAAACTTAAAATATTAAACAGCAATTTATTAAACATTTAACAAAAATTAAGTTTTCAAGGTGATATGAAATATTCAGTTTTATTGTCTATTTTTAATTCTGTTTTCCATTAATTTTCTGGATTCCATTTGAATGGTTTCATTAAATATTAATTATTAAAAGAGCATCTCTAATTAATTTATTTTATAAAAAAAATATATATATATTTCAGAAATACTATGTATTTACATTTTTCTGGTAAATATTTATTCTGGTAAATATTCCTTCCAAAATTAATGTTTTAATTTAATTATTAGTAGCAGTACTATCATTACATGAAGTAATATTTCTGTCACGGTTTCTTCAAGTTAAACCGAACTTTTATTTTGACAGGTTGCTGTGAAGACCTTTTGGTTTCTGTTTGTTTATGATATAACGATAGTTTTACTCAAAAGAAACGGTGAAATGCTCATGAAGCGACTCTCAGAGCAGTTCTAGAGATCATGTTCATGTGTTCATATATTGAGGCGGCAGTAAAGTGAAGTAAACGAAACCTCAGAGACACGCAGAACACACAGGATTCATATTTAAGTGCGGCTTAATATTCACAGACACTAGTCCATATTGTGTTTTGATTAAAGTGTATCGATCTACTATTGCTGGAAATCATAGGGCCCTACAGATGAACCAATGCAGTGTTCCTAAAGCAGATCCACTGGCACAGCTGTGTTCTGTGATGTGATGCTGGGTCGACTGCTTGGACACTTGTGAAATGTGTTTTCTCCAGGTGGTGGGTTTGAACTTCTCCAGCGCTACGACTCCGGAGCTGCTGCTGAAGACCTTCGATCATTACTGCGAGTACCGCAGGACTCCTAACGGCGTGGTTCTGGCTCCGGTGCAGCTGGGCAAGTGGCTGGTGCTCTTCTGTGACGAGATCAACCTGCCCGACATGGACAAGTACGGCACGCAGCGGGTCATCTCCTTCATCAGACAGGTGCGTGTGCGAGCGTCTCGCCGAGTCCGGCTGCTGCTGTGTGTCTGTCTGCGGTGTAACCCGTGCTGTGTTGTGTTCAGATGGTGGAGCACGGCGGCTTCTACCGCACCTCAGACCAGACCTGGGTGAAGCTGGAGCGGATCCAGTTCGTCGGGGCCTGTAACCCTCCCACAGACCCCGGCAGGAAGCCGCTCTCATACAGGTTCGGCTGTCGTCATCACTGTTAATAAAGACACGTGTTCAGTAGGGCTGGGCAATTTTTTCAATTTTATCCATTAATTCGAACACTGCAAAACATGATTTTCTTGCTTAGTATTTTTGTCTTGTTTTCTAGTATAAATATCTACAAATTCTGGAATTAAGATGCGTTTACTTTACAAGTAAAATGACTCAAGATATAATGTTCTTGTTTTATTTTGCTTCAAGCAAGTAAAAATATCTGCCAATGGGGTAAGAAAAATGGTCTTGTTTAGCCTTCGAATTAAGATTATTTTTCTTACCACATTGGGGTAAATATGAAGCGGTATACTTCAGAGATATTTTACTCATAAGAATTTCTAGGGGTGCCAATAATGGTAGCCAACGTGCATTGGAGAAAAACATTTATTTCATAATGTGAGTTTCCCCCCACTTTCAATTGATTTACTTCAATGAAAATGTAGAATTTTGTGAATTTTTTTAATGAAAGATCAAAGATAAATGATGCAGATTTATTTTCACAGCCGCCTTTGCTCATATTTACCAAGGGTGCCAATATTAGTGGGCGGCACTGTATGTCTGATATTTCATGTTTGCATCATGGTGAAAGCTGCTGTTCATTTTTTTTACAGAACATTTATAGTTAATAACATTCTACTGGTGTTATAACTTCAGTCATTTTAAATGTGAATTTCCTTGACTTCACTGCACTTGGAATAGAATTTTCTTTAACTAGAGGGTTAATGAAGAAGTTACCTGAATCGTGTTGTACGTAGATTTTCAAGTTCAAATCGTAGAAACCAAGATGTTATATTTTTGGCATATGGCCCAGCCCTAGTGTTCGGTGATGTCCTGGCCTAACTCGTGTGAGCGTTTACAGGTTTTTGCGTCACGTGCCGGTGGTGTATGTGGACTATCCCGGCCCCGCCTCGCTCACGCAGATCTACGGCACCTTCAACAGAGCCATGCTCAGACTCATCCCGTCGCTGCGGACCTTTGCTGAGCCGCTCACGGCGGCCATGGTCGAGTTCTACACCATGTCTCAGGTTTGCATTTTAACCGCTTAATTGATAGTTTTCACGTGACGTCACACCCTTATAGGAGCGGCCACCTGGAGGGCAAAACGAGGCTTTGCTCTGCTGGCCGCCAGTTATTTTACACAGTTTGCATTAAGTAGTAATGTAGTAAAACGCTAATATTAAAAGGCGAAATTCAGTATACACCTTATTGATGCATACTTTATACAGGCAAGCAGATGAACCCAGAATATAAACGCAAGGCCAAAACTTGCATTTTGTTTACATATCTTTGTTTTATTCTTCTGAGAGGTGATCTAAATATTTGCAGCTTGGAAACAGGTGGAAAATTGACAGGCTTGTGCTGCAGTTCTATGGATGTTTTGGCCTCCAGGTCTTCGAGCCGGTCACGTGACCGAAAGCTATGAATGCTCATGGGTTTGACTCCCGAGCTGATGAAATCTTGAATGCGCTCTTGACTGCTTTGGATTGAACTCTCTGGTGTGTTTGAGCAGGAGCGGTTCACTCAGGACACGCAGCCGCACTACATCTACTCCCCGAGAGAGATGACCCGCTGGGTCCGAGGCATCTTTGAGGCGCTGCGGCCGCTGGAGACGCTGCCTGTGGAGGGTCTGATTCGCATCTGGGCTCACGAAGCTCCTCCCCTAGAGAGATGACCCGCTGGGTCCGAGGCATCTTTGAGGCGCTGCGGCCGCTGGAGACGCTGCCTGTGGAGGGTCTGATTCGCATCTGGGCTCACGAAGCACTGCGACTCTTCCAGGACCGGTGAGTTTAAAGGGATTGCTCACCCAAAAATGAAAATTACCCAATGATTTACTCATCCTTAAGCCGTCCTAGGTGTATATGACTTTCTTCTTACAGATGAATACAATCGGAGTTATATTTAAAAACGCCCTGGCTCTTCCAAGCTTTACAGTGGCGGTGAATGGGTGTTATTTTTCAATAGTCCAAAAGAAGTCCAATAAAGTGCATCCATCCATCCATAATAAAAAGTGCCTCACATGGCTCCAGGGGGTGAATAAAGGCCTCCTGTAGCGAATCCATGCATTTTTGTAAGAAAACACTGCCATTATAAAGCTCGGAAGAGCCAGGACATTTTTAATATAACTCCGACTGGATTCATCATAAAGAAGAAAGTCATACACACCTAGGATGCCTTGAGGGTGAGTAAATCATGGGGTAATTTTCATTTTGGGGTGAACTATCTCTTTAAGGCTCTTTTCAGACCTGTAGATCACTGTTGCAATTTTGGTTCCTGTTTTGGAACAATGTTGCATTTTCTTCTAACTGTTACATTTCAGAGCGTACCAAAATGTGCATCAGCAGCAAACCTATAAGTATGTGTTCGTTCTTGTGACATTGCACACGGATTGAACTGATTCTCTCGGCAGATTGGTGGAGGATGAGGAGAGACGTTGGACCGATGAGAACATAGACATGGTCGCCCTCAAACACTTTCCTAACATCGACCGTGACAAAGCCCTTAACAGACCCATCCTGTACAGCAACTGGCTCTCCAAGGTGAGTGACCGAGCTGAACTCTTCTGGACATCACTGCAGACTCCGATACGACTGACCGCTTCTGCTGTTCTCCTGCAGGACTACGTTCCCGTGGAGCAGGAGGAGCTGCGCGACTATGTGAAGGCCAGACTGAAGGTGTTCTACGAGGAGGAGCTGGACGTTCCTCTGGTGCTCTTCAATGAGGTTCTGGATCACGTGCTGAGGATCGACAGGTACAGAGAGCCTGAAGAAACACAGCTGTTTGTTATTTCACCCCGCTGACGCTTCAGTAACGTCACGCTGATGTTCTCCCTCCAGAATCTTCCGTCAGCCGCAGGGTCACCTGCTCCTGATCGGCGTCAGCGGCGCTGGAAAGACCACGCTCTCCCGCTTCGTGGCCTGGATGAATGGACTGACTGTCTATCAGATCAAGGTTAGAGCAAGCAAACATTTGATTGCCTGTCAAGTTTTGTTTGTTTGAGGCTTTTGTAACTCATCGTATCCTCACAGGTCCACAGGAAATACACCGGCGAGGACTTTGACGAAGACCTGCGGACAGTGCTCCGCCGCTCCGGCTGCAAGAACGAGAAGATCGCCTTCATCATGGACGAGTCGAACGTGCTGGACTCAGGCTTCCTGGAGCGCATGAACACGCTGCTGGCCAACGGAGAGGTGTGACCCGTGAACGAAGACCCGCTCTCCGTCTCGTCGTGTGTTCTGACCGCTCTGTGCTGTTGCAGGTGCCCGGCCTGTTCGAGGGCGACGAATACGCCACCCTGATGACGCAGTGCAAGGAAGGAGCGCAGAAGGAGGGCTTGATGCTGGACACCCATGAGGAGCTGTACAAATGGTTCACCAGTCAGGTGATCAGGAACCTGCACGTGGTGTTCACCATGAACCCGTCGTCAGAGGGGCTGAAGGACCGAGCGGCCACCTCACCTGCCCTCTTCAACAGGTGCGTTTGTGGCACATGCTATCATCCATACATTTCATACATTTGATCAGTTCATGCTTTCCCTGGCAATCAAACCCATGACCTTGCTATTGCTAGCGTCGTGATCTTCTGTTTCAGCTACAGGAATGCAGGACATATCTGCTTAAATGAAGAACTGTTAACTATCCACCTACTTTTATGCAAATTTTGGGATATTGCTTTAAAAAAAAACACTGGAAGGAAATGCCATGATGTTTGTAAATTCTAAAAATGTGCATCAGAAAAGCTTTTGCGCTCTTGGGTCAAATAATTGTTTTATCCAGTAAGAAGATATGCATAAACTACGATGGAAACCCATTTACTAAATAAATTCCTTAGTGCGTATCAAAAAAAGTCATGTGATTTTGCCTCAGCAGATCATGTGACTGGATAACTGGACTAACCAGTGCACTGATCTCATTGCACACCATCTCAAATGCTTTAATAATTTTGAAATGTCTTGAGCCAAAGTCTGTCATAAAAATTATATCAAATCGTCTCCCGTAACTGCCTCAGGCATCCGAACGAAAGATAACATGACAGTGTTTGTTATTGCTTTTCATCAAGTGCAAGTCATTTATGTAGGAAAACAGAGACCCCGGTTGAGGCAACTTTCATTTTTATTATTGATGCTTTGCACCAGTTTCCCAGGAAGTGACAAATTAAAAAAATATATTTTTTTGTTGTTGAACGCATGGGATGGAAACGGTGCTTTATTCGCAGATTTATTATGTCATATTCTAATTTTGTGCATCAGTTAAAATCACAGCTAATGTCGACTCCTGTGTGCTCTTTCTCTAACCGATGTTGCTTTTATGCTGGACTGATGCGTGTTTCTCCTCAGGTGTGTGCTCAACTGGTTTGGCGATTGGTCCACTGAAGCGCTCTATCAGGTGGGTAAAGAGTTCACCAGCAAGATGGACCTGGAGAAGCCCAACTACAAAGTGCCGGACTACATGCCCACAGTGTACGACAAGCTGCCGCAGCTGCCCACCCACCGCGAGGCTATCGTCAACGGCTGCGTGTTCGTGCATCAGACGCTGCACCAGGTCAGAGAGCGTCTGATGAGATTCACATCGGTTTCAGTTAGAGCTGCACCATTAATCGTTAAAAGATCGCAATCTCTGTCCTATCATTAGATGCTGAGAAAGCATTTGATCGGCTAGATTGGGGATACCTTTTCTATACATTAAAGAAATTTGGTTTTGGTGAAAATTTTATTTCAAAAGATCGCAATCTCGATTCAGACACCCACGCGATCTGGGGCCGGATGCATAAACACAGACATCAAGTATTAGAAATGCAGAGGTTTTTGGTCCTATAATTAACACCTCTGTTTTTTCAGAATTTAGCAGTAAGAAATTACTCGTCATCAAGTTTTTTATATCGACTAATGTATTCCGTTAGTTTTTTTAATTGGTATGTTTCGCCGGGCCGCGAAGAAATATAGAGCTGAGTATCATCAGCATAACAGTGAAAGCTAACACCATGTTTCCTGATGATATCTCCCAAGGGTAACATGTAAAGCGTGAAAAGTAACGGCCCTAGTACTGAGCCTTGAGGTACTCCATACTGCACTTCACAAACAGTCTTTTCAACTACACAGCATTATTTCTCTTACAGTCATTCATATTATCACAGAAATAATGGGATGAAAGTTTATAGTTCGGATATAAACACTGATGTCTATGGTAGTGATCAAAATAGAGCAAATCACCTTTAGAAAGTATCAAATAACGTTTGTCGATTGCATTGTTTCGCCACTAGGTGGCGACAAGTGACTGTTAAAAAAATGTATTTGTCATTGAATCATTCATTCAAGAGATTAGTCCAGTAATGAAACAAGTGTAAAATGTTATATATATATATATATATATATATACATTTACATTTTTAATTCATGCAAATTAATTAAACGCTTTTAAATAGATTGCAGCAATTAATATTTTCTCACAGCCTCTAGTAAATTACACATTTTTTTAGTTAAGAATCGTGGGAGAATCTTGATCTCTATTTGAGACCAAAAAATCGTGATTCTCAATTTATCCAAAATCGTGCAGCTCTAGTTTCAGTGCACACTGTGATGCTTTATTTCTCTCTCTGTGTGTGTGTGTGTGTGTGTGTTAGGCTAACAACCATCTGGCGAAGCGCGGTGGCCGCACTATGGCCATCACCCCGCGCCACTACCTGGACTTCATCAACCACTACGCCAACCTGTTCAACGAGAAGCGCAGCGAGCTGGAGGAGCAGCAGATGCATCTGAACGTGGGTCTGCGCAAAATCAAAGAGACCGTCGATCAGGTGTGTGCTTCACACGACATCACGCATGCAGACGCATGAGCTCGTTTAGTGTTATTAACCATGTGACGTCACAGGTGGAGGAGCTGCGGCGCGACCTGCGGATCAAGAGTCAGGAGCTGGAGGTCAAGAACGCTGCTGCCAACGACAAGCTGAAGAAGATGGTGAAAGACCAGCAGGAGGCCGAGAAGAAGAAGGCAAGAGTCATCGTTCAGCGCATCGCTTCAGTGCTCTTGTGCCGCTGCTCTCGTAAATAACCTGACAGGTGTTGTTTGGCTTAACAGGTCATGAGTCAGGATATACAGGAAGCGGTTTACAAGCAGCAGGAAGTGATTAAAGTCAAGCAGCTGAGCGTGAAGCAGGATTTGGACCAGGTGGAGCCGGCCGTCATCGAGGCTCAGAACGGTACGGTTCGCTCCTCTCTGCGCTTCCACTGCTGGTGCTGCTGTTTGTCCAGATTCACGTTGCAAAAATCTGCACACATTAACTAGAGGTCGACCGATACCGGATTTTACTGATACTGAAAGCTAGGTTGGACCACACTGGCCGATACCAATTAATCAACCAATAGTTTTTCAAATGGATACTGAACGAAAACTAAAATAGTGCTTTACTATAAATAAAAAAAAAACACTACTGAACCATAATTTGTAAATTTAATAAAAATATGAATATTTTTATATTGATCATTTAAGTTAGTTCATAGTTTAACTAATGTTAACAGAAGAAACTTCAAAATTTAAAAATGTATTAGTAACAGTAAATTTTGAATAAACGCACTCTAACATTACCATTTCATTTCAACAGTCATGGCCATCTTTAAATACACAAAGGCCGTAGCACTGAAATTACATATTAAATATGGATATTGTATGTATAAACTCACACTTTATTTGCTTCTATCTAGGGCTGCCCCCTAATAGTCGACTAACTGTTAGTCGACCAGAAGTGACTTGGTCGACCGAAATTTTATTAGTCACTTAGTCTTAGAAAAAAAATGATTCTGAGCTTAGTTTTGAACAGCAGATGGCACTGCATGCTTTAGAAACAGCCCTACTCTGCTTGTTTCCAAATCCTTACACACACTCGAACCTAAAATAATCATTCATAAAATTTGAAAAGGTTGAAGTGAATCACAAGGGTGTTCCCAGTGGGCTGTTTTTAATCATTAATCTGGCGTCATAAAAGCATTCTGAGCCGAGGTGAAATTACAGACTCAGCCGAACGCACAAGCTCTCTTCAGCTCTTCTTCATGAGTGTTTGAGTGTGCGGATAAACTAGAGTAGAGCGCCATCTGCTGTTAAAATATAAGCTCAGAATCACGATGCATTCGCAAGATCTCATTCTGCATCGATTTATCGTCGCAGCCCTAG